TACGTGGCACTAGTTTGAAAAAAAAGTCAACCATCGTTGAGCCCACAAGATAGTGCCACGTAAGCTAAAAAGGGGTAAAAAGTTACTAATAAAATAAGTTCATGGGGGGAATAGGACCTTAGTATAGTATAAGTGTGTCTCTGAGATTTCGGACATAGGTTGAGGGGGTACTTGGGCATTATCCTTATTTTATTCAACAATTACGTATTTTTCTTATTTATAAATGCATATTAGGTTGATTTGTTTGGTTAGAATTAAGACATTGAATGTCAATTTGTCTCACTAAGAATATGGGACGTGACAAATTGAATTTTATTGAATTGTTTGTCGTAAATTAAAATAAATAGATCTTAGTAATTAAGTAATCAAAATATTTTACCTAATTCTTAAGATTTTATTCCTTTTATTTGGTTATATATATTTTAAAAATATATATCATCAAATATTGTGATTGATAGGTAAGTATTCCTGTATTTTTAATTAGAGGCTTCGATTTGAATTCTGAAAATATAATTGTTATTGGTTAAGCACATTTTTCTTCAAAGTAAGTTTTTCAATATAACCATCAAGAATTAAAAGAATTGTGGTAAAGTAATAAGTATTCTTTCATCCTTAATCAAGAAGGTCCTAGGTCAAGTCCCCTTGGGTGCGGGGTCGCCTTTTTTAGGGAGCCCGTTACCCTCAATGTAGGACTTCCCGACGCGAATTCAAATTTAGTCAGGCTCCAATATAGATACCGAACACCAAATGAAAATAAAAAAAAATCATATAAATGTAAATTAATTGAGCCATAAAATTAATATCAAATATCGAAAAATAGATTTAATTTTTTTTATCCTTCATGTACAAGAGAGTGATTTTCACTTGTTTCTAGATAATGACTGTCATATTTAAACACTCCCTCTATTCCATATTAGTTAATCATCATACTAAATATAGTTATTTTATATTAGTTATCACCTTACTAAATTAAGAAATCATTATTTATTACTTTTTATATTATCCTTGTAATGTATTCTTTTTAAAAGTGTTTACATTTATTTGTAAAAAAATTTTAAAAAAATATTTAAGGGGTGAATTACTGAAATTGTTTTATTATATTTGAAGCATTATATAAAATAAAAAACTATAAACTAATATGAAATGAAAGAAAATATCAGTTTGAGGTGAAATTTAGGAGCACAAGAAATTGGTTGAGAGTAAATCATGGAGAGAGAGAAGTTAAAGACACAAATCTAATAAAATCTTATCTTAAGGTAATGAGATGTGGATTTGAATAAGCCTATTATAGCTAGCTAGTCCTTGCTCATTAACATATCAACATTTTTTGACTCTTGACTTCCAATTCATTTTTTATTTCTTTGTAAGGGAGAAATTGATTTTATTTTAGTTTTGTAAATTATAAATATTTTCTTTATTTTATATTAATGGTTCACGTTTTACTGTGATTGTCAATAAAATGATAGTTTTACTAATTTAACCCTTAAAAAACCTTTTTAAAACTTTACAAACCTGTTTATATATATAAAAAAAAACTAATTATAAAGGTGTAATGTGAAAAAATTAATTAATTGTACCTAAATTTTATAAATGAGTAACTAATTTGGAATAACTATTTATAATAAGGTGGAACACTAAGATGACATAAAAAAAATTAAAATCAATTATTTTTAATAATGTGAATCACTAATATGGAGTGGCGAGAATACCAAAAATCATATAAAGATTTTTTGTTATTATTACTTAGTTTTGATCTGGTCACTTGAACTGGATGTCATTAGCATTTGTGCTAATTAGATAATTTGAATCAAAATTGAATTGTTACTGAAATAAGGAGATCAAAAACCAAATTACTGAAATTGTGATTCAGTAACAATTTCCAAAATAAACGAAGTGAGTAATATGAATTGATATTTACTTGTTGTCTTTAACGTAAGTTAATTTGCAGAAATATTTCTTTGAACAAAAAGTCAAAACTTCAGTTAAAATGGTAACGAAATTATTGGTTGAGCTATAAACTATAGGGATTAGGTTTATCCTTAAAAATAAATAGCTGTAAAGCTGACTAGATTCATATCCTGCTTTGGATTAACCAATGAATTTACATGTCATAATGACATTGCTTAGTGGCTACCATTAATTATGGATTTCAAATTAATTTTATTTCTTTTTCTAACAAAGGACAACGAGTGGATTAGGATTCAAGATAAGACCTACCCTTTCTTTTTATGTATAAAATATAAATCCATACCCCATTATTCAACTCAATCTTTTGTTACTTAATTATTTTGTTTTTATCTTTTCATCATTTTATATAATGATAATGATAACTCATCATCTTATATCTCGTTGTTGTTTCCAAGATCCAAGAATTCTCCTATGGTGAAGATTTGTTTTTCTTTCTAGCCTTTTCTTTGAAAAACCATTTCTTGGTTTTGAATTTTAATTTTGATTGCAAGCATAAGGGAAAACAACAATAAAAATGTCTGTAAGTATGATTATGGATAAAAGGGAGGTTGAAGGTTCATGTGGATTTATGGATGCATTATCATGTAATCCACAAGAGGCATTTTTTGGTGGTAATAAACAAGTGTATATTAATGAGGAGAAGGCATGCACTTGTAGTTCTTCATCATCTATTGGAGAAAATAGTGATACTATATCACATGAAGAATCAATGGATGATGATCCTCAAGAAGTTGAAAGTCCTTTCTCTTCCATCCAATCTCTACACCAAGTTCTACCAATTAGGTATTTTTTTCTTTTGAATTCCGCGTATATTTTATCCTATCCTGACTTCATTTCATTGGATATGTTAGTATTTTTGTGTAGGCATGAATTGAATTGTTTATCCTGTTTGCAGAAAGGGTATGTCAAGATTCTATAATGGAAAGTCAAAATCATTCACAAGTTTAAGAGAAGCTTCAACTTCATCTTCTGTGAAAGAATTAGCAAAGCCAGAAAATGTTTCCTATATCAACAAGAAAAGGAGAAACATATTGGCATGTCGTTTACCTAACAACAAGAACCACACTGGCATCTCAAAGAAGAAACATATTGGCATATTGGCTATGAATTCTGGTCTTTGTGACAACTCAACAAGTTGGAGATCATTTTCCTTGGCTGATTTACAATTTGTTTCTGTTACTACAACTCCTACTATATTACAACAAGCTGAAAAGAAACCAACTAATTGAGCATTTTGATGAATAACTTGTTCTTCTCTTCATTTAGCAAAAAGGATTCTTGTTGTCCTTTTAGCAATGTACCAACACATTCTTTTTTTGTGACTAGGTATGCTTACAGCCTCTCAACTAGTTAACCTATCTAGAGGCTATGAATGTTGTTTTCACTAACATGTACTGCCAATGTTAACAAGTCAGCAAAAAAATAAAAACCAAAGATAGTTTTCTTCTTTTATTAGCAGAATCTAGAGATTAGCAACCATATTATGTTCCACGAAATAAATGCATGACAATAGATGATCAAACATCTAACTAAAATCATTAATCTTGAAATTTGTTAACACTTCAAATTTCAGCAAAATTGAATTGAAAGATTTTTGGATGGATGTCAGAAACAGGTTTGAATATTTGCTACAACATGAAAGATTTTCGATAAGTTTCCACATTAAAAGGGGTATTCACATTAAATATATCATCAAGCCTACAGTTAGTATATGAAATGGAGATGGGACTACATTTCTAACAGGGCAAGTGCCTTCAAAACTTCTAAGATGGGGGAAGCATGCAACAATGAAGTAACCAACATGACAAATATACAGAGCTCAACAGAGCCGGCATTCCCAAAAAAATAAGGAAGCCTTTCCAGTAACCTACGCCTAGTGCTGTACATATTCTACTCTAGATCTAGACTGCCGTGTAAACAAACTGAAGGGATTTTTTTGGGGGGGGGACAACTTGACCTGCATTGCTGGGAATCAGTTAGCCATCTTGAGACGCAGTTTTCCCCAGACAAGAATAGGTAGATGTTGCACATTGCGAGTGGAGACTGGAGTTGTACAAGACGAGAATATTCCAAACACGCACATAAAAAGTTTACTTTGTGTGCTGTATCATAAGCAATGCTGATGGATATTCAGATAGGAACTTTGGCAGCTCCATAAGTGAAGGATCTAACTCCGGAAGTGCCATATATATGTCTTCTGTTAAAAACGGAATACTGCAAGCAGCACGACATATTGTTTTAGAAAATAGGTAACAGTAAGCAGCAAGAAATAATTACTGAAGGCAGCCAGGAAATGAATTCTCCATACACCAAGCAACTGATATGAAATCTGCACCTTACGGACTCATTAAATAAGAAAAAATGTTTGATCAATGTCAACAAAACGGAATTTGCGGAATTGATGGGGCTGTAATCTGATTACTATGCAATGCTTGAATATTTAGTATGCTAAACTAAATGTTTTCAAGCATTTATGAAATTGGGACAAGCTGCCATATAGAAAAGAAATCATTTATTGCTATATCTCAAGGATACCAACAGCACTGAACAGTACGACAATCTAGTATTTAACCTTGACAGTATAACTAGATATTTAGACAAATACAAACGTAAGAAATGCTGGGATAGAAGTACAGCAAGCTTTTACCTCAGATCATCATCCAACAAAAATGAGTTAGATGTTAGATTCTGAGAATCCTTGTTTAAAATCTCCCTCATCTGTGCGACAACCTACAGAATAAACAGTCATATGCCTATGAACAAAAACATACCGAGAAAACAGACTTGGGAGAAATGCATCAGAACACTTACTTCGTTTGACACACTTTGAGTTCCATACTTGTCATCCCAATACATGGTACTAATTCGATAAATTTGTCGGGTTGTCAATGCCTGTCCAAGATGACGAATTTAAGGACATTCAGTCAGCAAAGAAGATTGACATCTCAATGACATTTTGGGGTTTATTTCTTACCGGGCAAAGGTCCTGTCTTATCTCTTCCAAAGATTTCTTCCTCTTTTGATGTATTACCTAGATAGTCACAGCGAATAAAACTTATAGCTCACAGTAAGACTTTCAGATATCAAAGAGCTATTTAGCAAGGATATGGCTTCTACCAGAAATCCAACAGCTTGTCTGATATAGTTTAGTTCATGCCAAGATGTACCTGCAAACTACACTCAGCACCCATGTAGTTCTTTCTCAGTTCAACATCTAAATTGGAGAACACAGGAGAAAAAACTATCTTTCTTAATACCTCTTCTTTCGCATTGACTATCCATTTTTCTAGTTCTGCCAAACCAGACTTCACATATTCTCCATTTGAAAATGTGCAACACTCTCGTCGGAGTAAAAGACTGACAGATTTTAAGACCAAAGAATCGTAAGCTTTATTTTCACACAAGAGAAAGGACAAGAATTAAGAAAAAAAAAGACATTTGTAAGATCATAATACCTGTTAAAAAGCGATATATTGATGAAGGAGAAAACTTGGGTAGTCAGCTTGCGGATGAAAAATGAAGGCACCTGGAAATTCATGAATACAGTTCATATACCATGATTCGATAAGAGAAGAAAAATTAGAAGTTTGAAGTAACAAGGAAGAAACTAGAAAAAGAAGACATCCTCCTATCACCACACTAATGTTTTGTAGTTCATTATCAATTATGTATGTGCAAGTGTCATAAGAACATAATACAAGCTTGCCTCTAGGTCTTTGATCTAGTGATAAGAGTGCACCTTGTCATGTGTGGGTTAGGCATGTCTCACAGGTTCAACCACAGCCAAAAACCTGGTATGTGAGTGGAGAAAGATAGAGGTGGTCCCTTATCCACCGAGTTTTGAACCATGCGCACAGGTTCTTGGAGATTTTTCAGTTACAAAAAAAAACATAATATGGGCTTTTTCAAAGCAACACTGACAAAATTAAATATCACCTCTCATAGGATGTTTTGGAGGCTATTAAGCTTATAAAATAGAAGAAAAGGAAAAATGAAAAAGGAGTAACTGATTCATCATTAAGGTGATCAGAAATCCTCAGGCAGCACTGATATAGACCTGAGGCAAGCCGAAATTAGGCATATGCACATGCAAACTAATAAATCACTAAAAGTGATCATTGTGTATCCTCATGAAACACTGAGATAAAGATCAGAAGCAGCATGCACACATTGCTAACTAAATAACCTGACCACAGATATCTGATACTACGATACATGTGAAACATGGCATTTGCAGAATGGCATTTTACACAAGGATCTACCCTCTCAATTTGATAAGTTAACTGGCAACTTTATTTAGCCAACAATCTAGTCCTGTGGAGAACCATATGAATATCCTCATGAGAAGGGAGAAATAACTAAGTGAAAAAGACCCTCCTCCTCCAACACCAAGGAAGCACCACAGTGGAAATCGCCTCTTGTGTAGAGGTTTGGGGATAAAGTTGTTGATATCCAGGGGAAAAAAGGACAAAAAGAAACTTACGGATTTCCTCATTGCTGAGTTGTCACCAGCATTTTAGACTCTGAAATCTCACCATTAACATTTGGAGCAGAGTAAAATTTTGGAATAAACAATAATTTTATTGTTGTGGGACAACGTATCGTATACTAGTAGTACAAAACAAGTAGAGAAGCTACACAAAAATTGTGGTTTCCAATGAAAGAGCCCAATCATCTACAAGAACAGGAAGTGTGTGGACGGACCAACACTAATAAAAAACTGTAAGTTATTCCACATATATACAAAGTCATTTTCCACCATTTGAAAAGCTCTTATTCATCTCTGAAAGAATCCAACATGAGAGCTAATAAGGGTACATCCCATGCCCTGCATCATCTTCTTCTTTTTACAGAAGTCCAAATGTGTCGCACGTCCTTGGTGAAGCATAATATATATTTTTCAAATCGTACCATACCAGATGATTCCTACTAATGCATCTGACAGTTAACAGCAGACTGCTCTACAACTTTACCTTGCTCAAAAAAAAAAAAAAAAAAAACAGCAGACTGCGCTACAACTGAGCTACTGAGGAACAGCAAACTTAATGTTGGAAGTTGACTCTTGTTCTTTGGATCAACCTATGACCGAATGGAAATGAGTTTGTCACTCTTTTTCACACACTACCAAATAGCATTTCCCAAAATGGAATATTTTACTACCCCATTTGTCCCAACTTAAATGACTCATTTTCCTTTACATTTCTATATTTAGTAACACGTTAACTTTAAAATCACCCTTAATGAAATGATCTATAGCCACACAAACATCTATGACTTATTTTATAGCACAAGTTTCAAAACAGCAGACTGCGCTACACTATAACTTGTGACGAAGGGAGTAGTACATACTCCATTTGACCCACAACTAGAGTGTCATACTTGTTAAAATTATTCACAGGGAAACTAACTCTTATAGCCTTCTATTTTAATCATCATTCTTGTTAGAACAGGAATAGGTTTATACAATCCTATTGAAATAGGAATAGGTTTATACAATTCTATTAGAATAGGAATAGATTTATACAATCCTATTAGAATAGGAATATGTTTATATAGTCCAATTAGAATAGGAATAGGAATACTAAATAGTGTCCTACTTGATAAAGGATTGTATTCTATGGTCTATAAATAGGGTCGTGTAATAATGTAGACACAACAACAATTCAATAATATTCTTTTCCTATATTTCTCACAATTCTTACAGACATGCTGTGCTAGAAAGTTCTAATTTTCCAAAAAAAAAGAAATCCTTAGTTTTGGATTTCTATTTAGAAAGAACAAAATACAACTAGCATCTTAACTTTTGTGCCCACTAATAGAGAACTCACATTGCAAATGAAGAGTACACATAAACGTTTAATGGGCTCCATTTTACACATCCACAATCTTAAAAGCCAAAAACTAACCACTAGCCTACACTTGGAACAACCACAATAATGAAAATCACAAACTTAAGCCTCCAACTAACCAGACTATTCAGGACCCAATTTTTTTCCAAGATATGACAAACCCCAAAGCCACCCAAAACTTGAATCACGAACTTCATGTTAGAGGTTGAGGACCCCTTCCACTAGGCTATCTCTCCTTTGTCATTATTCACAACCAAAATAGTCATCTCAAAAAAAATTAAAAAATAAACACTTGAGGGAAAAAAACAGATGTTGCAATAGAAATAAGTACAAGTAGTTTATTCTAGGCTAGTTAACAGTAAACAACATAAATGTAATGACAACAGAAAGAAGTTTGCACCATTAAAATGCAACAACAAACTCTGCATATGAAAATTGCATCAAAGAAATTCTTCGTCAATGCAACCTCAAATGAAGGCGGACAGAAACATACAGCCAAGACGATGAGAATTATATGCATACATGATTTCCGCGTAAGCGACTCAAGAAAGAATCCAGGAACTTGATGATGCTATCCCATTGACTGCTTGGTGCCTGCTGAGG